AGTTTCCCCTCCCCCCCCCCCCCCCCCCGCGCGCGCGCTGCTCTTCCCTCCCATGTCGTATCACGCCCGCCCCTGGCATGTGCTATTCGGTAGGACCAACAACATCTTCATCAACAAGACAGAGGGATTTAACACTTGAATTCGATATCGAAGGAAACCGTCAGCTGGGTAGTTACGGCGGCACGGCACGGGGCTATTTAATTTGTTTTAGCCGGAGTTTTTGGCCTGGCCAGGTAGGCCGGGCGTGCACAGGGAGGGGGATACAAACCACCATGTTTTCATCATCAGTGGTATACGCGCTCCTCACGGCGTCGCTCTTCGGCAGAGCGGAAGGGTTCATGGCATCGTCGTCTTCGACCGTTTCCGGCTGTGGGGTCGACACAGGGAGACACGCGCCCTGCCGCAACAGCGGGGTGTCTTCCAGGACCGACCGCAATAGAATTCGAGTGATGATGGCCGGAGGAGCTTCGACAGACGACGACAGAGATAGGCCGGCGCGCGTAAGCGGAGGCGGGCGGGACGCGTGGGGGTCGGGCAACAGATGTAGCAGCAATAGTTCGCGCAAGCAGCGCAAGAGGAGAACGAAAACGAGGCTAGGGGGCGACGGCGGCGGGGCGGGGGGAGGCGGGGCGAGCGGTAGTAGGAGGGCGGAACACCCAGGGGGTGAGGTGAGGTCGGTGGCGCTGCGGTCTTCGGCGTACCCCGCAGGCGACGAGTCTGCCGCTGGCGGCGCCGGCAGCGGCGGCGCCGGGGCCGCAGGTAGCGGCGGCACTGGCGCGTGGAAGCGGAGCCTGTCGGCCGACGAGGACAAGCGGCTGAAGGCGGAGTGGTTGGTGGGTGACTCCGGTCGGTCCTCGGCCCCGGTTCAGCCGTGGGAGCTGCGGACCCTGACGGCGGACGAGCAGCTTTCCCACCTGAACCGGGGCCTGCTGCAGCTGAGCGCGACGTTCGGGTGGTGCGTGACGGACGCAGAGGCGGTGGAGCTGGACGGGTTCAACCGACGGGTGCTCGAGGACGCGTCCTACCTGTCGCCGGATGAGCAGAACTGGATCGGGGTGGCGGTGCAGGTGGCGTACCACGCCCACCAGGGGCAGCGGAGGAAGTCCGGCGAGCCGTTCATCATGCACCCGGTGGAGGTGATGGGGATCCTGGCGGGGCTCAGGATGGACGCGGAGACGCTGGTGGCGGCTCTGCTACACGACACCGTGGAGGACACCAGGCTGGCCTTCGAGGACATCGAGACGCAGTTCGGGTCGACGGTGCGGCGCATCGTCGAGGGGGAGACCAAGCTGAGCAAGATCCCCGGGCGCGTGTCGGCGTTCACGGCAAGCGACTACGAGATGGGCGGGAGCACGGCCCAGCAGCGGGCGGAGGGCGCCAAGCAGGCGGACAACCTGCGGCACATGCTGATCGCCATGAGCAAGGACTGGCGGGTGCTGGTGGTGAAGCTCTCGGACCGGCTGCACAACATGCGGACGCTGGGCGCCATGCCGCAGCACAAGCAGGTGCGCATCGCGCAGGAGACGATGGGTGTATTCGTGCCCCTGGCGAGACGGATGGGGCTCTGGGACATCAAGACCGAGCTCGAGGACATGTGCTTCAAGACCCTCCATCCTGAGGAGCACGCCCGGGTGACGGAGCTCCTCCGTCTCCGGTCCGCCTCTACGGGCCACACCAAGGATTTTTTGGAGAGCGAGCAACGGCGGTTGGAGCGGGTGCTCGGGCACACCGCCGTGCTGGAAGGCAGGGCGCGCTCCTTCCGGGTGACGATGGGCGTCAAGCCCGCCTACACGGTGTGGCGGTCGATGGCGAGGAACGGCGGCCGGCTGGGCAACGTGCTGGACTGCGTGCACTTCAAGGTTTCCTTCTCGCTGCACCCGAAGCCGGGGCCGGACGGGGTCGTGAGAAGCTCGTTCGAGAACTCAGAGCGCGAGCGGGCGGCCTGCTACGGCCTGCTGGAGTCGCTCCACGGCCTGCTGCCGCCGGTGAGCCCGCCCAGGGTCGAGGACTTCATCGCCGTGCCGAAGCCCAACAACTACCGCGCGCTGCACACGGCGGTGCTGCTCAGGGGACACCCCGTGGAGGTGCAGATCCTCACGGACGACATGGACCGCGTGGCCCACTTCGGCATGGCGGCCAGCCAGGTGGCGAGGAGCTCGGGCAACCCAAAGAACCTGCCGTGGCTGGCTGAGCTGCAAACCAGCGCGGAGGCGTGCGCGCTGGGGTGCGGAGACACGTACTCGGCGAACGTGAGGGACTCGCTGACCAGGGCGCAGGAGCGGAGGTTCGTGTTCGACCCCCAGGGGAAGATCTTGGACCTCGCGGGGAACGCCACGGTGAGCGTTTTGTTCCGGTTCGGCCGTGTAGCCGACTTCTGTGAAATGGACGCTGATTGCTTCTTCTGTCCCAAATTCTTGTCTGTGGCAGAGATTAATTTGTTGTTTTTTGTGCATTTATCAGCAAAAAAAATAACATAGATAGAGGTGACAGATGTTCCAGAGTATACCTGAGAGTCCGAAGCCATTCGTAAGCTGCTGGTCGATTTCCCCCAAACGCTCTAATCTAAACACCCACCCACAGGTGGTATGATGGGGTATCCATCGATTCGTGGTGTAGCTCACGGTTACTCGCTCGCGGTGCTGCTATCTTTTTTTTTTTTGTGCGTCACGGCCAGCGGTTTTGTCATGAGCATTAAGTTTGTCCAAGCACGTTTAACACGGCAAGTAGTGTAAGCATGAGCGGTAAACGCCCACATCGTCGACTCGCCAAAACATGAGCAGCGAGATCAGCGGGGTTGGTCGGGTCTTGGCGGAAAAGTGTTGAACTTATCCAACCTTTACATCTTTTTAGCAACCTCGCAGATATCAGCAACCAATCAACGACCTCATGTATGCGGCAAGACCAAACTGGTGGGATTTGGGGAAGGAACCGCATGCACATACTGCTGTGGGTCTTGTACATGTGTTGTTGGTGGCTACACGCTAGAATCCCTGGAGTGTTTGTTGCGCTCTCTTGACGACAATCAAAGCCCTCCCGGCTAAACGTTTACGCGTCCAACCCTCTCCCCCTTTGGAACGCTGACCCTGTCGTCTCCGGCCACCACTCCCCCTCTTCATTTCGATCTCCGCAGATGCGTGATGCGGCAAGGGAGCTCCACGACTCCAAGACGTGCCGCGTTGCGGCGACCTACGTCAACGGCCGACTCGTCCCGCTCAACCGGCCCCTAAGGGTAAGCGCGGCTGTCTTTTTTTCTTCTCCCGAGGGTGTCTTGTGTGAAGGTTAACTTGGAGCACTTGCGTTACCCTGTGCTAGGGAGCTCATGCTGGCGTACGCATGCACGAGCCGGATACAACAGTCTTGAGATATCCTGGACGGAATTTGCGTCCATGTTGGTTCCCATCTCGGCTACCCTTCCTCCACACTTTTTTGCGCTGACCAATACCTCCTTTATGATGGATGCAGCACAATACCGACCCCGCACGCTCCCTTCTTTTTTATTTTTTTTCTCCCAGAACGGAGACGTGGTGGCCATTCTTACGGCCCCGTTCCTCCCCGCGAAGCCCCCCACGGCGGCTGCGGCGGCGGCTGCGGCGGCGGCGGCCGCGGAGGTGGAGACGACGCCTACGACGGAGAGCGAGAGGCCCGCGGTGGACGTCCCCCTCCACGTGCACACGGGGGTGTGGCCGCTCAACATGGGCGCCATGCCCATGACCCAGAGGAGCGGCGAAGAGCCCGAGCTCCTCATTGAGATCGACGAGATCCCGTTCATGACAAAGGGCGAAAAACGCCTCGCCAGAGAGGTGGAACTCCAGCACGCTAGGCTCAGGTGCGACCGGGGGGGGTGGGAGCGGGGCGGGGGATGTTACGCCCGGCAGTCGTGGCAGTATAGGAATCTAAGAGTGTGTTTTGTCATTTGCCCATGGCCCCAGTCCTCTCTTTCCGTGACGTGTCGGTAGCGCAATGAGATCCGCCCTTGCAGAGTCTGTGCGGCCTCCAAGGTCGTGCCCCGGCAGAATATACAACGGGCGGATGCAGGCAGCCACAAAGCGGAGGCCAACCAACTGCGCAGCAAATACCTGTGCTGTGGATCTCCATCTCGCTCTTTCTGTCTCCTCTCTCTCTCTCTCTCTCTCTTCTCTCTCGGATATAAGTCCTGTGCAAAGTACTTCTACATTTTACAAGCCCTTTTGCAACGCGTATTTATTTCTCTCTTTGTCGCTTGACGAAACCCAACTAACCACGACCGTCTCCCCCACCGCCCGCTTGCTTCGACGCAAACTTTTGGCACGACGTGGCACACGCAACGCACGCAGCATGTTCGCGGTGCTAGCGTGGACGGCGGTCGAAATGGAACGCATCAGCGGCCTGGCGATGCTCAAACCCGACGCCCTCGCGGCTCTGCACGAGTCCCCGTTCGCGTACCTGTCAAGCCTTTCTCCACAGCAGGTGAGAGGGGTGGGGTCGGGGCAAGTTATTTGATTCGTTGACTTGCAGGGCACGTGCCTGGCGCATGTCGTTAACGTGCGATTCTAGGTCTTTCTAGGCAGCGGGTAGCGGGAGCCATGTTTTTGGAAGTACGACGGTGGCAGGAGGCTGAGCCTTGTGTCTTGCGTTGTAAGTGGAGCGAACTTAAAACACGACCATGACGTGGGCATGATCTAACACACGCGAGCCTAACGCCTCGCCTGCTGCTGCTCTGCCTCTTTTCCCCGTCAGGCCCTGCGAGTGGTGATGGTCATGGGCGTGCTGGAGGGAGGGTTTCTGGTGTACAATAGCTTGCAGGATAGATTCGAGCGCAACGAGGCCACTCTGCCGGATAAGAAGGACGCCCTCACGTGAGTTTTTTTTTTTTTGTTCATCACTTGGAGTTGGCTTTATCCGGGTAGGGGCCATGTCCATTTCCACTCCGTGGTGACACGGAAGGATTGATCTCCCCGAGGTCCCCTACCCACTCATCTTGCCTTTCGGATTTGTACGGAAGATTAATGCGACCAAGAAAACAGAACAGTGTTGGGCCAGCCAGCAGCAATCGACGCCGTGCCCAAGACTACCCCTACTGCTGGCTGTGCGTTGGATTATTTTTTTACGTGAAGACAACGCACAAATAGTGTTTTTTTGGGTGGTAGACGAAGGTTGTTCGTGTGGGATAGATATGGAATGTGTAAACAGAGCGAGAAGTTTGTAAGAACCACAAGTTCTCATAGGGTGGTACGTACCGATCGTGTTGATCTTCCATCCTCTGACCCATACCCCCCCCCACACACTTCGGCCGCTGCTTCGTTGTCCCCTGTCCGATTCTTGGCCGTGTGCTGTCCATTTCCCTCGGCATGTACTACTACTGCCTTTCCGCCGCCATTGGAATAATCCAACAGCGCCCAAGAAAAGGCGATGCAAGATCGGAGAAAATTCCACGCGCGTGAGCGAGAGCTCCACAACGGTCGCTTGGCGATGATCGCGATAGTCTGCCTGTCCGTCCAGAGCGCTCTGGCGGGGGAGGATAGCCTTGCTCGTCTGTTTGGGCTATTCTGAGGACCCCCCCCTCCCCCCCCCCCCTCCCTCCCGTACTTGTAATTTGTGGGAGGCCCTTCCTTCCGTGCTTCTACTTTCTCGGAGGGGGTCGGGGGCCGCCGGGCTCAGCACGTGTGTGTGGATGTTCTGTAAGGAGAGCGGGGGAAGATAAGACACCCTGGAAGGGATGAGCCATCTCGGGGCTCATTTCCTAAAAGTGCTGTTTTTTTCGACCGTCCATCCCTTGCGGACTGTACCGCCGAACTCGTTGCAGAAAGTGAGCTACGGCTAGCTTTCGCCTCAGCCATGAAGGTCGCAGGGGTCCGTGTTGGCTACGAAGCAGGCTTGGGGTGACGGAGATGTAAGCGTGCGTGTCTCTGCTGTTGCTTTTGGGTGGGAGGCGCGCGATGAAGGAAGTCGGTCGTGCGTGGTGTGGTCTTTTAGGCGCTCCTGATTTGTGGCGTCTCGTCCGCGTGTGTGTGTTTTTTGTTTGCGTGCGTGCACGCAAATCGCGTGAGTGAGTTTTTGGTGTGTTGAAAAAAGAAAGTTGTTTGTTGGTTCGTTTTTTTCTGTTCTTTTTGTCGTGGACTTGCTTGTCGCTTGAAATGGTTTTCTCTTTTGGTCGTGGGTTGCCGTTCAGAGAGAGCAAGCAAAGAAAGGCGGGACAACGACATCGTGCTGTTAAAGGGACAAGGACAAAAAAGGAGGGGGAGAGGCTAGAGCTTTATTTAGAGTAGACCTTGCTTGTTTTTGGTACAGAACGATTGGACCGGCGAAAGGAAAAGAACGGCGGTCGGTCACACTCTTTGTTCGCCAACGCGTCGTCTCGTTGCCGTCTGATTTGCGAGCTGCGCTTGACGCAAAGTGGTCCAGGGCAGAGAACGTGCTGTGATTTCCGATTTAGCGTGGATGTACGTGTTGCGTACCCCACGTTGTCGCGAATTTCTCACTGTGTACTTTTTCATGTCTTTTCTCGATGTGTCTCTTTATCCAATTGTCTCTGCTTTACGAAAGCGGGGATGAGATGGGGTGGGGAGGGAAGCGGGGGGTATTGGAGTTGATTGATTTTAGACGATCCTACTCTGTGGTATGTGGAGGTGCGTGTATTTGTAGCTGTTGGTTGTCTTGGGTATACGAATCTGCGATATCGGAAATAATGGGGGCTCAAAGGGGGGGGGGGGTGATGTTCCAGCCAAGCGTTCCAGCCAAGCGTCGAGAGTATTTTCTATTTTCTACCAAGATTTCTCGGCGTGGGTGTCGGGTTCGGTTCTCCCCTACACCGACCAGGCGTTTTACCGCGACCAAATACCCCGACGGCTTTCGTAATACCCCGTAGTTGAGCACGAGTGCTTAAGCGTTCGCCTTGACGAGATACCGGTCGTGAGTTCCTCGACGCTATATCGTTGAGCCACGATCTCGTGATGGTCGTTGCGGGGTGCGTTGTGCTGTTGTGCTTGCGCGACGCTTTACAGGCTGCTTACGCGAGGCGCAGCTAGAGGCATGGTGGGGGGTGGTGGTGAAGGATGCCACCATTTTGTTCATGCCGTGGCCTTTCTGCGAGTGAGTCATTTTCATCTACCTTCTACCGTGCCCGTCGAACACGACAGTACTATTCATTACTCATGGCTTCTTCTGTCTGTGTTGGTTTGGGTCTCCAAAATTTTGTGTCTTTTGGGTGTGTTGTATACGGAGTATGCATACCGAGAACATGGTAGTGTACCCAACCAAGGGGCTCAGTGCGATCGGTGTGTGGTGGGGGGGGAGTGACGTGTGTAACGAAACGAGTCGGTTGATTTTCATTGTAATAGAGGAACATGAGTCAGTTAGAGGAGAGTGTGGGAAAAGACGGAGTCGAGTGGAGGGGTGTGGATACGTGGCAGGCTGCCGACTCCTTTTTTCATTTCTTTCATCATCTGAAGGGTGTCTGCTCCGAGCACGTGCCTCTTCCCCCCCCCCACCCCCCGAGGTGGGGGAGGGGCCGCCTCCCCAAAACAAAAGGGGACCGTGTAGCTGTGAGAATTAGTCCCCTTGTTTCTGTTGTCCATCATCTTGGGAGCCTTCTGCCATTTCGTGTGACATTTTTCGATAAAGCCACGGCTATCTTTTTCACTCGGGGCTTGCGTTTTGTTTTCATACCGCGGGCGGATAGGTTCTTATACAGATGTTATGCCGCGGGCAACTGCTGACCGGGGCAGCGGGACTACTGTAGCTGTGGTCCCACAGTTGTGCGACTCTTACCCGTACGGCAATGGGAGCAGGGAGGGGAGTGAGGGGAGGTGACAACCAACGCTAATTAATGATGAGACAAGGGTCCTTGTTTCTTGTGGATGGTTTTCTGTTACGTTTTGTTGTTGGTGGAAGACGAGACGCGACCGAACGGCCGGGTAGCTGTGTATGCGCAGCTGCGGTGTGGAGCCTCCACGACGGCAGCATGAGACGTATCAAAAGGAAAGTAAACAAAGACCGACTGTGCTCCACAGAGAGGAGAGCGAAAGGCTCTCATCACACCAAGATAAACGAATCTGTCTAGAGATAAAGCTGATCCTCACAAGCCCACACGCCAAATGTTGTGCGGTGTACACGCCAGCAATCCCTGAAGAACCTGATGGTGACTCGTTCACCTGTTCATACATGTTAACTCCCTTTATATGTCAATTTCATCATTAATACTGAAAATAGGGTCGTCGTTCCTAGGTGAGTAGCAAAAATCTTGACTTTCGCCCCAATTAGTGGTATCTCCGAAGAGGATCTCCGATGGGGCGGACGGGGAGGGGGGGGGGCGTACTCATGTTTTGCGATTAGACCATTGACCACGGATCTCCGAAGCACAGAAAGTGCGTTATACCCCACAAGTGATCGAGGGTGGTCTTGGCGTGTTCCTCGCTCTTCTCCTCGACGAGTTTTCAGCAGGTTTGGCACTTGCATCCACACCTTGGTGACTCTTGCCGTCTGTGCGGAATCGCGACTGACTGGCGATCGTTTCACGATTCTCCCCTTTTAAATCTGAATAATAAATAACGATGCCGCATTTTCGACGATGCTTCTGCCTCACCCTCCGGTTGACATCTCCCTCTTGCGCCCCTCGCTGTTCCCAGGCAAGCGATACCAGAAGCCTCCCCGGCCTGCCGAATCTTCGTGTGGTGGACACGTTCTGGCGGGTAGTTGTTGTACGCGACGCCGGTTCTCCGTCATCCCTGGCCGCCGGCGAGGCCGCAGGCGAGGCTTCCGTCCCTCTCCCCCCCTCCAGAGACTCTGTGATAGGGCCGTACTTGGAGATGAGACGGGCGGTACGGCCGTTGGCGGGTGAAGAGGTGGTGTACAGTCGACCAGGGATTCCTGGAGCACGCTGTTTGTGCTAGGGCGCGCTGAGCTAGGTTGGGTGTAATGCCTTTGTACTTCTCTAAGTTTCTTCTGCTGTTCTTGCGTCGGATATTTTTTGCTCCGCAGATTCGTTCAGTGCAGGTCCGAGGCTTACGCTACGTTCGTTGTGTTTAATGCCTTTGCAGCGCGGTACTCGCCCGTTGTATAGCAGTACGTGCACCGGGTTCAAGTTTTGCTCGGCGGATCCATTAAGTGCACGATCCGGAGCTTACGTACTCCGCCGGCGGAATCATGGACGGCAGCGTGTCGAGTGATTTACTCACCGCTTCTCGTCGGTTTGCTGGACGCAGTCTCATGTTGCCTGTCTGTTTCTCACTTCTTCCGAACGAATGAAAACCTTGCAGGCGTTTTTCTTCGAAGCGACCTTGCTGGAAGACCGGCCTCTGTCCAGAGCAGAGATAGCGGCGACGTTCAAGGACTTTTTCGCGGCGATAGTCCGAGATGTTCTACAGACATCGTAGAAATAGGGGCGCGCGAGCGGTGCCTACACCTTAGGGTGTCATCTCCAATTGATTGTCGCGTCGGAGTAGATATGACTGCAATGATCTGGCCGCCCCAGGCTGCTCCACCATGAAAGAAAGTAGTTTGCTTTCAGCAAGGAGACGCTGTTGGGAGCATTTTATAGGCCAAGTGCGTGCGAAAAAGACTATCGTTGTAATTTGTAAGGCCTTCCTTACCTCATGCGTTTCTATAAACCATTGCTGTTGAAAGGGTTTTGCGCACTCTACCACGCGGAGGCGGCGCCTGAAAGTGAAGTGAGCTTGGTGCTTACCTGTATATAGTCAAGGTACCAGGTTGGGATTCTGAGGGTTGGCTGAGCATGCGTACGGCACTGCGCACTACAATAGACGGTTATCTTTGTGTAATCGGCATGCCCATGATGCCCAAAGAGTGAGACCAACCCTTCCTAGTCTGGTCTAAGACCAGTATCTGTACTGAAGCATAGCCTCCTGCCCCTGCTGCCTCTGCTGCGGTGCTTCAGGGGCGAGGGTGAGAGAGCTGGAAACAAACATTGTATGTTGTGGTGTGTTTGAACACAAGCAGTCAAGTTTGACCTAACAATCGTCCGATCAACAGTGCAAAACAAGGTGTAATTTTGGGGCTCCTGGCGCGACATAGCCTGGGGTCAAGCCTCCTTAGCAACAGCAACCCTCATGCTACCCGTCAATCCCGAGCAGCGTATTGCGGTAATACACACATCATCCTCTCTCTTTCCGTCTGATGAAAGATCTTCACAAAAACGAAGGCGCCCTTATATGTTGGCGCACACCTGGCAGGGAGCCTTTCAGCATCAACATGGTCGCACCTACCCCTTGCCATCCACGACACCCAGCTATGTGTTGTAACGAAACGTTGTGGTGTAACAGGTCGCACGGTCTGGCTGTCGTCGTACAACTTAACATGCGGCGCAATCGCAGCCCAGCAGGGTCTGGTTGTGTCGTTTCGATCTGAAACGGCTATTTTTTCTTTCTGTTTCGACTTCCGTTGCAACGTACGGAAAAATAAATAAATACACACACAGAAAGACTACCCATTCGAGATATACCCACAGTCGAACGGGATGTGGTGTACGTGCAACGGGCGTGGACTCCCCCCCTCCCGGAGTAGCTCGCCTCACGCACAAAATAAGGTGGTGCGCCGCCACCTTGAGACTCATAACTGTGTGTGTAGGATATGCCTACGGGATGGAGTCGACAGTCCAGAACCCCAAACCACCAGTCAGCGGAGACGAGAGGTGCTTTCGCTCACCAAGGGTACATTTTTCTGTCGTCATTGGCCCAAAGCCGTGTAGCTACGGTGGTCTTGTGGATTTGCCTTGCCACGCGGCAGTACAGACTACGCGTGCCAGCATAACACGAGATCTTACTACGTCGTTACGGCATTCCTTGTTGCTCTCACCGTCACACTATGCGGCGTGCAAACTGGCCCTATTCCTACAGTGCTTTCGCAACAAACGCGTGCTGTGCAAAGTCGGCCCGACCAATGCTGCAGCAGTAACTAGACGTTTTGTGATATGGGAGAGATATACTTAACGATGACAACTGCATATTACAAAATACAAAACAATCACAGAAAGAACACGCGTTCGAGAAAATAGCAATCGAAGGGATGCGTTGAAGTCTCTCCCGAGAGGGTGCGGAGAAGAAACTGTTGTTGCTGGACTTTTTTTTTCATGTCGTTCAGGAAATCAGGCACCAGCGCTCAACGGTAACAGATTCGCCGCATGATCTCAACGTTCCGAACACGATCGTTGTAGGACGCCCTTCGAGCAGGATAAGTAGACCAATGGAAGACGTTTGGAGGAGAGATTTTCCTGTGCAAGCAGGCACCTGACAGCCTCTTGTTACATGATCAAACACACGCCATGCTCGGTGCAACCAACTCTATTTTGCCCGGTGCAACCAACTCTATTTGCTCGGTGCAACCCCTCTACGAATCAACTTCCAACTCTATTTGCTTGGTTCAACCCACTTTACCAGCTTACCACCAGATTAAAGATCCAGCCAGCTCAAACCCTGCAGAGAGAGCACACAGACGACACTTCACACTTCTCACACAGAGACTCCACACCAGAAACAACGACTGGTAAATCGCTACTGTACCACAGTGTACACGTTACTTCGAGAAGAACGGTAAGTGAGTGAGGTAGGTGTGGTGTGCACGCACAGAAGCGTCCCTTCGAAGAACTCGATCGTACTACACCAATTTTTCTACAACAGCGAGGTATCAGTCGTACAGTAGTACCAACTCCACAACTCTCTCGAGTTTGCCAGAGAGTGTTTGAGAGCAGCCTTCCAGCGAGAGTATGTGTGGTGTTCCAAAGCCGTTGCTGCACCCTGTCCGCACTCACTCGGCCTCCAAATGCCCCTGACCTAAGAGCCGATAGGGACCCGTAGCACCTGGTGGCTTACATTACGGAGCCTTTTTCACTGACTTGCTGCACGCGTTTCCGGACATGTCTCATCTGACTAAACGATCGTTCGGTCGGGGCTCTCTTCTTGTCTTTACCGTGCGTTCCCAATACCCTCGCTTTCGCTTTCCGAAGGAAAAAAGAAATTCAAAACGCAGGGCAATAATATGTCACGAGCGACCCGTGATGAGGCGAGGGAGCAGGGCGGTAACCCCAACAGGGTCGGCGTCCTCGAGCCTGCCGCCCACGGCCCAACTCCGAAGCAGCTCCACGAGCTGTTGCACATCCTAATGGGCACACCGGCCGGCATTGTGCAGCAGGTAGGTTATTTGTTGATGCTGTTTGTTGCTGTCGTCAAGGCCGGTGCGGCCGCCAACAACGACAGCGGCGCGGGAAGCGGCGGCAACTGTGGCGACTCAACAGTCAACTGCAGGACTCCAGGCCAAGTTGCTCCAGGTGCTGCTTGTCGAACCCGCGGTTCCACGACGGTCACGGCGGCAGAACGGAAGAGCGCCATCGCTCTCCTGAAAGCTGCCACCAAAGAGGCAAAGAAGAAAAACAAGATGAGGGGTGCGGCGAAGCCCAGCATCAAGAGCGGGAGGTGTTTGGCGAAGGCAACCGATGGGAGCGATGCAGTGAAGGCGAAAACCCTTCAGTGCTGGGCCGCCAAAGGCAAGCAGAACGTCCGACAGCTGCTGAAACTTCTGCTCGAGTCTGCTGGTGCGGTGGGAAAAGCTCGACCGGATCACGCCCGTCTGCTCAAGTTCCACGCTCAGGACATCTCCAGCGAGGAAGCCAGAAAGGTAGGGGCATCGGGTTATGAGGAGTGTGAGCACAGCGATGATGGTGCATTTGTCTTGTTCTCGCTACGTTCGGAAGCTTCGCGATTTTTTGTTTTTGTTCTCTCGTGTTGACATCGTCTCTAACGTTTCCCGCGCTCACCCGCCTTTGGCCTGGCCGTCAATCATGTGTGGTGGCAGGGGTCATCTGCTGCGGGGGCTGCCTTCGAACTGATGATAGGTATCATCGACGCAGCTCTCCACGACGACGGAAAGACTAGCAACGGATCGGCTTCACCCAGCAGCACCCCGTCCCCGTCGTCTTCCCAAGCCGACATCGCTGTTGGAGGGGAAGACATCCCGACGTCAGCCGTCGACCGAACGTCCACGAGCAAGCAACAGCAACGGGAACATCTCTCGCACGATGAGCGATCCGACCTTCTCCCCGTCTCCTTGCCCGGGAGCCGCATCGTCGAGACGCCATCTCCGTCGTCATGCGGTCAAGAACGGCGTTCATCGAACGGAGCACAACCAAGCAACGTTGCCAGCATTGCCATCGTCGGACACGCCAACAGCACCACCCCGGGCTTTGACACGTCAACATCACCGCTATCCTCGTCGCTCTTGAAGGAATCGGTCCAGGGTACGACGGCGGCGGCGGCGGCGGCGGCGGCGGCGCTGTCGGAGGAGACACCTTCTTCATCGTCGAAGGAGGACATGTTCACCATCGTCGAGGCCGCGGACGAGAGGTGGTCCAGCTCGGACGATGATGAAGAGGAGGCGCCCCTGACTAGGAAGCGGTGAGTAAATAGCTGTTCGCCAAACCGTCTATCACGCCTGGCCTCCCGATGAATGTTCTCGTTATTTTTACGGCGGAACAACCTTCCTCACCCACCCTTGGGGTACAGCAAGCGACGACGAGTTCCGACCTCCCTCCGTCCGTTCCTCCACCAACGGTGTTCGTATTATCTCCGCCCTTGCTGACCGCCACCTCGTGATAGGTCGGACTCGAGCACGGAACGAATCCAAGGAGACAGGGAGAACGGTGTCTCCGCACCAGCCCCGTTGGCGTGCACCGATGTCATGGACGGCCCAACGACAGCACAGCCAGCCCCTAGGCGAGCCAGCCTTGTGCTCGACGAGGTGACCAACACACCCGGACCCGCCGAGATAGCCGCAGAGGGGGGAGCATCGACGACGCACTCTCCTCCACCGGCAGGTGTCGCGCTTGACCAGGAGGTGGTGATGCCGTCCGGGGTTGCGCTGAATCTCGATGCGGAGGCTTCAACAAGAAGCGAGCCGCCAAGTGGGGCCGGGGAACCCTACGGGGGCGGACAGATCGTGCCCTACGGGTACATGCCCACCGGTAAGATTTATTTTTTTTGTTCTCGCCGCTTTCTTTAACCGTCGTTCGCAGTTTGGGTCACATGTATATTCCTCATACCCTTCGAACACACGCGAAGAAAATTCGCCTGAATCGATCTACTCTCCACCCAATCGTACTGTTCTTCAGGTAGATGAAAAGTTGACGATATGCTTGTAAAGTGTTCGTTGTCCAAGAATCGTGATGAAAAAGCTTTCCACCACTGACGACATGGGACCATCGACATGAAAGAAATTCTTACGGCGACCGATGCCATTGCGACGAAACACTTTTGAATCAACAATGACGTCAGCTCCCATGTCCACCACCCTCTCCCTCCCTCCACCCGCATCCCTTCGCCCCATTTCAAGCAGTCGCCACCACCGCTAGCCCCGAACGCCGTGAGGCACGTGTCCCCCACTCACCCTCCGGCACGGTGGAAACCATCTTGAGCCAGCTGGTGTTTTTCAGGCTGTCATCACCCATCCTTTACAGGGCACTCGTGAGTCTCGACGTCACTGCTGACATCAAACAAGCTTGCTTTGTTGTTTGGCACGGGGGGGCGTTGGAGAGAATAGACGAAGTGTCGGACCTCTGCTGCATCATACGCAGAGCTAGGCGGGTGTCAACAGCACCGCAGGTCAATCAGTCCATCCCTGCCAGCATGAGATAACGAAGAATAGGTTAATAAAGTGATATGTACATGATTGCCAATATCACAGTGTATATAGGTATTATTTGCCGTTCGTTGACAATAGTAGCTTTAATACGACTGGTATTTGGAACAATGAAACAGCGGCGTCCATACCACTAGCTACGTCGAGACACCACGTCAATAGCCGGGGACTGCACAACAATGTAGTTCGACCGAAACTATCCCGAAATTGCCCTCAAAACTCAGGCCCATTGATTCAAAACTACACCTACCTCCGCCAAACGACTACGTAAGGAATATACGGATCAAGAGAACGTACGTACGTTTGAGTATATGCACATAGTAAACAAACACAGCCGCAACCGTGCCGCCTTTACATGTACACAACAGATTTATAATAGTGCTCTATCGGTATTGCCCAAGCAAAAATTGGTTGTTCCTTCTCGCAGCCCTACGGGCCTGACAACCCTACACCGCTTATGGTTTTGACCCTTGCCTCCTTGTCTACCATTCATTCCAGGCCGTGAACATCATCTCAAGCCAGATGGACGTCGACCCGTCCGTGCGTCTGAGCATCGGAGCGCCGCACGGGTCCGCCTCATTTGGCCCGCTGGAAGTGCGATCGCGCCAGCAGCAGCAGCCACTCCAGCACGCGTTCCAGGACGACAGCGACGGCACGGACGACAGCTCCGTCGCCGTCGACAGCGCGGGAGAGAACGAGCACGATGATGGTCGCGGCGACAGTGACGCCGGAAGCGAGGACGGAGACGACGACGAGCCTCCACCGCCGCCTTCGGCCGGCCACATCGATCGCGACCCCCTCAACGACCTGCTGCGCGCTTTCGCTGGCCTTGCTGCTCTCAGCGGCAGCTCCGACGGCGTTGAGAGCGACGGCGACGAGCGCAGCAGCAGCAGCAGCGGTTCTTCTTCCGGCGACGCTGACGAGGACGACGCCTCGGCACGGGGACTGCACGACGAGCCCAACAACACGGGCAGCGAGTCCAGCAGAGATGGGCTCGGCAGCACTCGCGACGACGACGACGACGGCAGCGACGACCTAGACTGCGACGCGAGGATGGGCGCCTTCCTCTGCCTCGAAGAGATGGAGTACCCCAGATGCAGGGCGGGTTACGAGAACGTTGAGGAAGGCCAGGCCAAGTGGGCTCTGTCGGTCATCGGGAAGATCGCGGACGCGATCGATGCGCCGACGCACACCGTCACGCTTGCGGCCATGACCCTCGGAGTGGCCGGCGGCGTGCCGGGATTCATGGACGGGCTGACCAATGAACAGATCTGCCTTCTCCCCGCGGCGTGCGTGGGGGACTCCATCTGTCGACTGCAAGAATCTGGGACGGAGGAGAGCCCCGCCTATGACTTCAACACGGCGACAGACGCGATGCTGGCGATCACGAAGACCTCGTCGGAGGGCAGGGGTGACGGCGGTAGCGACATATTTGGTGAGACAAGCGACGAAGACGCCAAGACTCAGCTGCTCGCTCTCGTCGTCCTTCTGAACGAGGCCTTGCCGGAAGGCCTCTCCTGCCCGGGGTCTCTGCACTTCATACGCATCCTCGCCGACCAGTCAGGCCTCTCCGACACCCGCACCGACCAGGAGCTCGAGAACTTTTTCGACCAGACCGACAAGCGCGTTCGTACCGCGGTCTTGAACGGCTTGCTCCGCACGCTTTCGCCGTCGGACATAGCGCGCGGCGCCTTCTTCGGCGCAACCGGTGTGTCCGTCAAGTTCACCGAACAAAGCGCATAGGGGTGTGTGGGGAGGTGGGGGGGACGAGCGAGGTAGGTTCCGGGCAGACTAGCCGGGGAGCTACCTCGCTCGTGACAGGGGGTTTTAGTTGGGTTCAAATCCCACACTACCTGGGTCGGATCGGTTTTGGGCCGATCGACTTCTGGTGCCTATCCCTAGTGGCGACGCTAACCGGCATTGAAACGGTACACGAAAGCGGATGAAGATTGAAATTCCGTATAAGTGTGGGCAGGGGTCTCCTCCTTGCTAAGAATAAGAGCAAAAACAAAAGAAAAAACAAATGTAAGAAACAGTCAATGGTAGGTTCTGTGGAGGTATCTTTGGAAGTGAAAGAAGACAATTTTTGTCGCAACATGAGGCGATCCATTCTAGTTAGAGAGCGTAAAAAAGTGCGTGCGACTTATCGAATTAGGTGCCGGTGGAAGAATTAAATGTTTGTACACTGGACGTGTGTGTTGAAGTCGATTTGAACTGATAAACTATGCAGATGTAGTCAGTCGCATACTTTTTTGTTGTTCTTGGTTGTTTCGGGCTATTACGGTTGGCTTCGTTGCCGCAGCTAGTCAGGTTTGATGGCGCGAGAACGTAGTAGGTGGCGGCGTACGCGTGCACCTGTCTGTTGTGCAGAAGAAACGCTTGTACAAGGGCGGAACGGTGGTAGACCACGATCGGTCGCCGGTTATTTGTGTGTGTGATGTGTTATGTTTTGGTCTTATTTATTATGGCGACAGTCCCCCCATTTTTCGTGGTGAGACTACACTTTTCAGCGTATGTATGTAGAGTACTACACTTTTCAGTGTATTTTTTCGTACAACTACAACCATCCAGGGTCACACAGGAGAGGGTAAACACCAGGGCTTTTTTCTTCTTTTTATTTGTTTTCATGACCCACCTTCCTCCTGCGGTGCGTGCTGATTTTTTTTTTTATCGCGACAAGGGTCCAGCCGTCACATTCCCTCGTCAACGGTGCTAACGTTTGGTACTCACGAGAGCTTTTCAGCTATATTTCGCTTTCACCCGCAAATTTTATAAATTTTTCACCCCATCGGGATTCGAACTCACGACCTCTGCGACTAGCGGTTTACGAGGATGCCACTATTGATAGACCACCGGGGCGACCGGCTATCTAGTTATGGGGGAAGGTTGGCACAATATCATTTTCCTTCCATGGTACCTAGAGGGGCCAGCGCGACGCGGGTAAAGTTGGGCACTTCCGCTGCTTATTTAATTCACAAATCAGTCGCTAGGTACACGGTGCCACCGAGTGGCTACGAAGAACTAGTCACGCATTGTAGCACACCGACCAACCGGAAGGAAGGTTGGAATAGCTTCGTTGTTACTAGAACGTTTTTTCGTGATGTTTCACGACGTGACCGCGAAGTAACAACTCGTCGACATCGCTTGGGTCTTGACCAGAAAACAACCGCGCTTTCCCACGGGGCTATTATCCCGGACAACGGCAACAAGACATAATAACAAAATGGCGCCGGAAAATGATCATGTTGTATGTTTCTCGACAGCAAGCTTCTTCAGGATTCTTGCTCTATTTTTACCAAACCATTGTGCTCTCTGTGCTCGTAGAAGAGGGCAGAAATCATTACATTCATTCGATCGAAACGGTGTCAAGCCAACACAACCCATAATAAGAGGATGCGGATACGAGACCCAGTGCTGCCGACCCTGCCCCTTTCCGGCACCAACCGCACTTTCCGTACGGGCCCTGCAAGACACAGCACAACCACACGGCACAGACCGTCCCGCATAGAACCGAAGACCTGGAACTCCCTTGAGAGCCCCCGCTTTCCCGGCACCCATCTTACACTGCAAACAAGTCGAATTTTGGGGAATTTTCTGCCATAGCTGGCGGTTTGAAAGATAACCATCGATCGTGTGCCGTTCGAACCAGTGTGAACGAACTCGGAGGCCGTTTTAGAACCCTTGCCACGGGCCCCTCCGAAATAGCGCCCCCCCAGCCCCCCCCGGTGTTTGCCATCGGGGTTTGGGTTTTCGTCGCTTGGCAACGACGTTGTAAAACAAGCCCCCCACTCGGTGTTTGCCATAGGGATTGGGTTTTCGTCGCTTGGCAACGACGTTGTAAAACAAGCCAATTCACTTCGTGAACTCGGCAACCAGGTTACCGTTTTTTTTTTTTTACCTCGGTTTTTTTTTTTTGGCGGTAACCATAATGGTGGTCGAGTAGATCATGTTGTGCAGGGTGGAGAAACCTCACTCCGCGCAACGGGGGATGATCGCACCACGTTGTGTTAAAATGGTCAAGCTTCCTCGAGGCAGTTACACGGTGCTTACAACTGTCTCTGGAAGTGAAAGCACCAGAAAATAAATTAAGTCATACGTAGCTGTCATCCGTACGCAAGTAAGTAAGCACAAGATGCCGAAAACCCTTAGCAGGATGCAGCTCACCCTTCATGCGACTC